TCATTTACTTCAAGTCAAACGAAGCAGGGGCAGACCAATAGAAAAGTACTTGAAAAGCCTGAGCGGATGGGCAACGGGGAAAGAACAGGACAATATACATTTCGGGTTTTTTTCTTTTCGGAGCATCTGAGCCAAGAAATGAATGGCAAACAGTAATCGCCGATGTCTGCTGCAGACCAGGCACTTGATGATGAAAACGGGTAAGGTCTACCTCCAACTGTCATATCATATGGCACTAACCCTACAAATGAAGGCAGGGGTACATCAGTGTGGATTTAGTCCATACCTCACCGACAACGGATAGCGGTGATAGTGACAACACAGAAAAGAAGTAGAGGAAGCAGCCCACACAAGGGGCGACCACAAAGAACATCAACAGATACGAGCCGAGAAACTCTCGACCAGAGAGAAAAAGACGGTGGAGTTTCTCATCACCAGTGTCGCAAATTGAAACAAACTGCAGCCGGCGCCCCAGGAGCGTCTAACGTGATCAACTCACCAATCTGCCATGGTGATTGGCCCATACTTCTAGTCTCGAGCAGCTCACGGCTAATTTCCCCCTGTTTGACAGGGCGCGTAAGGGAAGAAAAAAATGAAGGCTGGGGAGGTTCGGGGGGTGGGGGGTGAATTGGGCGCGCAAGCAGCGTCAAGTAATGAGCTATCTACTTCTCCCCGGCAGCCTCAAAGCGTATTAGTGACAAGCAGTTCTGGAAAGCTTCAATCACCGGACGGACCCGGCCCGAGAGAAGATCAATGGACGACAGTGGCAGGCTGGACTCTGGTTACTCTGTTCACATTCCTTTGTCCTGATGCTGCGTCGTGGGCCACAAGAGCGCCTCGGGACGACAGGAAAGGGACTCCTAGCTTCCTTAATTCTATTCCTGCGTCTGGTACTTTTTCGATTGCATCATGGGGCTGTAATGCGTCGGGACATAAAAACAGGCGACTCGTGAGGGGAATAAAACTTCTATCAAGGAAGATTGTCAATGCTACGTTTTAGCTTATGGCGAGGAAGCAAGACAATTGCGGCATTTCGTCAGGAACAGACCGAGGAAACGGAGCCACTCACAAGAAATAGAAAGAGCAGGCCACATACCGTAGAGCTGATTAACCACCGGCATAATTATGTGACACAAGGACAGCTATCGAGAACTGACTCTCTCCGCTGGCACGTAATGTAATCGC